GACAATGGTGTTCCAGGATAGTGACTCATATTGACCGATGTAATATTTTGCGATTCTCTCTGGGCGCCCCCCTGGGCTCCTCCGCGGTCCTGCCCGACTCGACCCACCCCGGACCGAACCACTCCTCCGCCCGGCCAGGTGGCGCGGCGGCGCAGCTGGCTGGGCGGCACTGGGCGGCCCCTCGCCCGTTGGCCCGTTGGCTGTCCAAGGCTCGCGCGCGCCACTGATGGGCGACGACGGCGCAGCGACGGGGCGGAACGACGACGGAGCGAGGCTGAGGCCGAGGTAGGATCCAGAACGAACGGACCCCTGCGACGCGACGACGATTCGACGATGCCAGCGACGATGACAGTCAGCAGCGAACGACGTGCCACGACGTGCATTGAAGCATTGAACACCCGACTCGGGCCAACTCGTCGAGAGTCGCCTTCTTCTCCGTCGAGCCTGAAGCTCCGTCGTTGTCGTCGTCGCGCCGTCGGTCGTCGGTCCGACGACTCCGACGACCGACGACTCACGACGACGACGACGACGCAGAAGACGACGATTCGACGATGCCACTCGACGACTCGTCGCTCGATCGACGGTGCCGAGTCGAGGCGAGACGATGTCAAGCGGTGGAGGAGAGGAGGATAAGAAGAGAGAGTCGCATGAGAGAGGAGACAGAGAAATGAGCTCGGAGGGGGCGGAGACAAGGAAAGGTGAATCGGTGGTGAGACAGTCCTCAATGTCAGGGTCCACTTGCGGCGTCCCCGGCACGGGCCCGTCGGCAACGTCGGTGATCGCGACCCCCGTGGCGTCCTCGACCTCGACCGCTGCGTCGAGCAACTCCTTGGCAGCCCCGACCCCGCCGGCGACGTGGGCGTCCGCCGCAGGGTATCTGAGGCAGGGTCGCCACCAGCAGCATCTGGGAACATTCGAGCGTAGATGGCGCTGAACCTGTCCATGAAATCCTTGTCGCCAAGGGCAGTGGCAGACTTTGACATATCACCGTGAGTCCCAGCTGCGTCTAGTGCGCCAGCATCGTCGTCAACCACAGGGTCGTCAGCGGCGTCGGCCTCGCCGACGAGGGTCATGTCGGCATCGAGCGCAAAGAGGTCATCGTCATCGTCGCCGTCGTCGGCGGCCCCGTCCTCGATGGCCACAGCTGGTCTCTGCTGGCGCGGCCTCTTCTTCCCTTCTGCAGGTGGGGCGTTCTTGCACGTCATGACGCAGAGGTCGAGCATCCCGCGCTCTCCAGTCAACGGCAGGCTTGCGACCATGTGCCTCTGGGCGTGATCACCATGAACTCCGGCGCATTCGATCTCGGACATGTCGACAAACCCAAGACACACCAGGCGATTCCAACCATCGACTGAGCGAGCATCATGGAAATACCTCTTGAACAAGTTGCGAGAAGTACAATGCTGCACCGGCACAAGCAGCTCCAACTCACCGGGCCCTCCATCATCGGGCGGGGTCACCTTGACTCTCACGAAGCAGCCCACGTACCCGTACTGGAACACGCACAGCCAGGCCACCAGGTCATCCCCCGTGTCCTCTTCACCAGCGAAGAGAAGAACAGACCCTGCCGTTCCGGAGCTCGGACTGGCCGTTCGAGATGACGACGCAGTCCAGTACCACAATTGATTGTACGAGGTGATCCAACTCTTCATCTCCCTCGTCTCGACGGCCCCTGCTGGGCGCCTGGGCGCCGCGACGATGTCGTCCAGCTGCTCGGGCGGCGCCTGGCGAGGCAGTCGGGGGCCGCCGGCGCAACCCTCCCCCCTCCCGCCCGCCATTCCAGACCGCCGGACAAGACGGCAAGACGACGGGCGAGAGAGAGAGAGAGAGGAGAGAGAGGGAGAGAAAGGGAGAGAGAGGGAGAGAAAGAGAGAGAGAGAGAGGGAGAGGGAGAGAGAGCGAGAGAGAGGGAGAGAGAGAGAGAGAGAGAGAGAGAGAGTAAGACTGCGGAGGCACTGAGCCTGAGCGGCCGGAAAGCTGGGATGGAGCTGGCCCCTGGAGTCCCTGGAGCTGGGGCCGGAGCGAGGGATAGGCTAAGGGGCCAAGATGGATTTGAATCAAGTCTGCAATTTCGCCCTCCCCCCCCCTGCGAGCGCTGGGAAACAAAACGTGATGTTTTGAAACCATCTTTCTCTCGGCCCTCGCGGCGTCGCAGGGTCGCAGGGGGGGGGGCGAAAGATGCGAAAGATGGCGGACGTGATTCAAATCCGCCGACGGGCCATCTGGGGCCCTCCTCTGTCTTTGTCTTTTTGCCTTCGGCGCTAAGTATCTCTCTCTCTCTCTCTCTCTCTCTCTCTCTCGCTCTCTCTCTCTCTCTCTCTCTCTCTCTCTCTCTCTCTCTCTCTCTCTCTCTCTCTCCTCTCGAGTCTCTATCTGCTCCTCCTCCTCCGTCTCCTCCTCATCCTTCACTTCTCCTCATCCTTCACTTCTCCTCCTCCTTCACCTCCTGCTCCGTTGCTCCGGCTTTGCCCGAGCGCCTGCCAGCGCAGCTGACTGCCGAGCACATGCCGGATCTCCTTCGCGAAGTGGATAGAGTCGTCCACGATGCTCTCTAGCAGCGGCGCCACCTGCGACCACTTCACGCGGCCGTTGGCCTTCGTCCCCAGCCCGAACTCCTTGCGCAGCGCCACTCTGGCGTCCAGGAGCGCCAGCGTGATGCGCGGGGCCCGGGCGCGCGCCGCCTCCCCTCCGCCCGTGTTCCGAGCCAGGGGCCACGGGCTACAGGGAGTCGAAAGGCCAGGGCCCCGACGGGGATCAACTGCGGCCGAACAAGTCCGGGGGTTGGGCCGCAGGTGCAGAGGCCGTCGAGTCGTCGAGCCGGGTCGAGCCGTCGACTCGCCGCTCGCCGCTCAGACTGCGGCACCGAGGCCCGATGGGCCCGGGGAGAAAGATACAGGATCTCAAGGTCTCAAGGGACCCTTGAGACCTTGAGACCTTGAGATCCTGTATCTGTGAGTCAAGGGTACACAATTACACCATCGCCAAAACGCACTGCGAGCGAACGCCAGCGACCCGGCCACAACCCAGCCCGCCCCTCCCCTCCTGTATGATGTTGTTGATGCCCTCGATCTCCTGCGCGTCCCCGCGCCACCTCTCCGCCACGGCGCGGAGCGGGCCCCAGAGGCACATCGACAGCGCGCCGTTGTCCGGGTCGGCGGCGGCCTGCGCGACGGGGCGGGGCGGGCGCCGCTCCGCCCCCCCCCCGCTCCTGCCCTCCTGGGCCCAGGGACACCCCTCCTCAGCTCCTCTCCTCCTCGCCTCTTCTCCTCCTCCCCCCCTCCCCCACCCTTTCCATTTTTCCGGAGGCCATTCCGCCTGGGGCACCTGGGGCACCGCCCCGCGTTCCTGGGCCCCGGTGCATCTGCGCCAGGACTTCCAGGCGGCCTCCACCTCCAGTGGCCTCATCCATCCATCCACCCATCCGTCCATCCATCCCTCCATCCATCCATTAAACTAAAGTCAGGCGGGGGCGTGCGATTACTTGCCCACCACTGCCTGGAGCTCCGCCGGGAATAAGCGCTTCACCGCGGCAGCGGCGACGTGCAGCTCATCAGGGTTGCCGCCCAGCAACTCCCGGGCCACCTCGGCCCTCTCGCGGCAGCACTTGTCGGCGGGCGACTTGCAGAGGAGGAGGGGCTTCAGCGGGTATTCTGAGCAGGGGCGGACGATGCGAAAATCGCAATTACTTGCTGCAGCTAATACACCGCGCCGCATGCACCGACTGACCGCGGCATGACTCTCCGGCGGCACCCCGGTCATCACGTCGGGGAAGTCCGAAGACAACATGTCGTCAAATCCGCGTCCAATCCTGGCAGCTTCGCCATACACGAGCAAACCGAGATTCTGCACCTCGCTCCCAACCGATCGGCCCTTCTGAAGAAAATGCAAAAGGTGATCAAGCGGGCCCCGGATACAAGTGGAGACCAATCCAGAACCTGTCGTCGTGCAGCGCCGTGAGGGCATCCTTGGCCCAGCGGGACATCTTCTCTGAATAGAGCTTGGACTCCTCGCCGCTGATCTCCGCGACCCCGCTGCTCCGGTCAGCATCTGGAACTGCCCGCGCGACGCCCGCAGAAGAGGCAGAAGAACGTACGAAGGCTGCCGTGAAGACCCGTCTGATCTGGTCGACTGGCGCACGGAGCAGAAACCGTTCGCAATCTCTGATGGACCCCCACCTGCCAGTGAGCGGACGGGGCGGCACTGAAAGGCCTCCAGCTGACACTGCCGCCGCGGGGCCATACAGCTCGGCCCAAATCTTGAACAACTTGACTGCGTCGTTTCTCCAGCAGTGCATCACTTTGGCAACGCTAGACCAGAAGAAGAACTCGGCGCCCATATCTTTCAGGAACTGGCCCATGAACTTCAGATGGTCCTTGACACACAGCTGGAACTGATGCGCCACGCAGTTGGCGTCCAAGAAGAGCGTGCTCGGCTGGCGGGCCATCGCCATGCCTATGAACAGCGCGCGGGCTTTCACCTCATCCGGCCCTGCGTCGGTCGTCAGCGTCCAGATCTGCAAGACTCTCCTGCGAGCGGCCTCAGCGGCGTCGCCTGGCGTGGCCCCCTCAGCCGCGGGGTTCCCGGCGGCGACGATGGCGGCGGAGCTGCCCGCCGCCGCACAAGCGCCCGCGCCGCCAGCAGCGCCAGGGCCGCCAGGGGGCACCGCTGCCACTGCTGCCGCCGCAGCTGCAGGCGCCGCCGCCTCATCCTCGTCCTCGAGGAGAGTCGCGCGATTTGGACACTTGGACAAGGAGAAGTGAGGTGAGGGATGAATAGATAGGCGCCTTAGCCCCCCTCTCCCCCCTCCTCCGACCACCCGCTATTCGACCGCCGGGGGTGGCCAGAGAAAGGAGGGGGGCGGGGCTCATCTGTGCTATCTGTTCATCCTTCATCCTCCTCATCCCCCTCAGGCGTTGCTCATGCTCCCGCTCCTGGATCGCAGCGAGCGGCGCGCCGTCTTCCAGCTGGCCCTGCGAAGCGTCTGGCGGGGCCCACGACACCTCTGGCAGCAGAGACCCCGCTGTGGTGTCGAGTCCGATGGATGCCAACTGCTTCCGCTGCATGGACAGCATCTTGTAGCCAGTCGCACTGCCGCTCCGAACCACCTGCAAGTCACCGAGGATCGTCCTGGAGCTGGCGGGGCCCATGATCTCGGCATACGTGCTGCTGGCCAATATGGGGCCCGGGATGAAGGTGGTCGAGAGCTCGGTGACGTGCAGCTTTTGTTTCTGCCACACCTCGGCTCGCAGCGGCGGGGAGAGCAACTCGCAGCAACTCGCAATTGGGCGTTGGCGGGTAGGGATGGCCAGGTGGCCCCTCCCCGCCGCGCATCCCCAATTGCGACTTGCCTTGGCAAGCAATATGCTTGCAATGTGTCGGTGTCAAATCAAATCAAATCCCCTCCCCCGCTCCCCCACTCACTCACCGTCCACTCCCCCGCCCTCTTTCTCCTCCGCCTCCTCCTCCTCCTCCTCCTCCATATCCTTCCTCCTTCCTCCCTCCTTGATGATGTGGGTGCCCGCACCTGGGCGTTGGTGGCATCTCCGCGGAGACATGGAACGGCGGCGCCCCAACAATTCTCGAACTCATCCCCCTCGGCGCCAGACCCGGACCCGCGCGAGGCAGCAACGGCGAGTCTGTGAGACAGCGTTGCGAAGATGCCGCTATATCCTGACCTGATGAAATACCTCATGGATGCGACGCGCGACGCCCTCAGCTTCACCTCCCACTGCGTGACCGTGCTCGGATGGACGTCCACGCCGAGTGCAAAGCCCAGGCGGCTGGCAGGGGCGTCGGCCAGCATGCGTTTGGCAGCCATGGTGAAGCCGCCGCGCATGGAGAAATACCGATTCATCCTGCCGCGCTTCATCTGCTGGGGCTGCTGCTGCTGCTGCTGCTGCTGGGACCGTCCGACCTGGGCGACCGTCTGCTTCGTCCTCTTGAGAATTCCAGAGGTCTGTCTCTTGATGCTCCACACTCTGCTGTGCAACCGCTTCTTGTCCGCCGCCGAGCCCATTCGGCTCGGCTCGACGCGCGTCGGAAATTCACTGCTTAAGCGGTTCAGGACCTGAACGCGAAACCGTGAAACCCAAGTGGCCCAAGAAACAACGCCCAGCGCAAGCACTGTTTGAAGAAAATGCCAGAGGCTCAGACTCAGAAGTGGACCGCCATCGACCTTAAAACAATAAAACAACTTTAAAACTGGATATAGGCTAAGGCTTAGGAGGGCGGGCAGGCGGGGTCGTGCCGAAGGCATTTAGATCGGCTCTCAACCGCTCAACGGTGCCAGTCAGCGCGGCGATCCGTCTGAGGGCTGCGGCCAGAGAGAGCCGGGGCCGAGGCCGAGGAGCTGGAGGGGCTGGGGCCGAAGGAGGGCGGCCGGGCTCGGCGGGCTCGGGCCTGAGCGCCAGCGCCAGGCCATCTGCTGCCGCAGCGCCGCCGCCGCTGGAGCCGCCGGCGCCAGCGCCAGCGCCTTGAGCGGCACGGGGCGGGCGCGGGAGAGGGGGGGAGGGGAGGGGCCCGAAGGGGGGCGCACATGCCCCTAGGAGGCCCTGGGACTGCCGAGAGACCCCCAAGGGCCCAAGGGGCCCAAGAGGCCCACCCAAGAGGACCCAAGAACCCAAGACGCCCCAAGAGACCCCCAGGACTCCTCCTCTTCTTTCTCCTCGCCCCGTGGGGCGATTCCTCCGAGTCGGAGGAATCGCCCCACGGGGCGTCATCATCATCATCATCATCATCATCATCGTCATCATCATCATCACCATCATCATCATCATCACCATCATCATCATCAACATCATCATGGTCATCATCATCATCATCATCACCATCATCATCATCATTATCAGCATCGTCATCATCATCATCACCATCATCATCATCACCATCATCATCATCACCATCATCATCACCATCACCATCATCACCATCATCATCATCACCATCAGCATCATCATCCATATCATCATGGATCCGAGCCCGGGCCCCTTCTCCCAGAGGCCACCCGGATGGGGTCCGAGCAGGCGGGGGTCGGAGGACCGCGCCGCACCGCCGCCACCGGCGTGGCGAACATCGGGCTCCGCATCGAGCCGCATCGCCGATGCATCGGCGATGCGGCATCCGCCAACCCGAAGTGAGGAGGACAAGACAAGAGCTGACGGACCTCGAGGAGGAGGACGAGGAGGAAGAGGAGGAGGAGGAGGAGGAGGGGGAGGAGGAGGAGGAGGGGGACGTGGAGGAGGAGGAAGTGAGGAGGAGGAAGAGGAGGAGTAGGTGATGGTGATGATGATGATGATGTTAATGATGATAATGATGATGGTGATGATGATGATGAGGACGATGCTGATGATCAGGATGATGATCAGGACGATGAGGACCATGCGATGGAGATGTTCATGATGTTGAGGATGATGATGGTGATGATGATGGTGATGACGATGATGATTTTGAGCTCCTCCTCCCCTCCTCCACTCCTCCCCTCCTCTCCTCCTCTCCTTGGCCTGTCGGGGCCGCGGCCGCCGCGCCCGCGGGGCCCGCGCCCGCCTCGGCGCCGCCGGCGCCGCGCTCCAGCTCGGACAGCGCCTGGCCCGAGTGCGAGCGCGGCGAAAACGCGAAACGCGATGGGAAGGGATGCCAGGGCGGCGCAACCCTCCCTGACCCTCCCTGGCTATCATAGCCAAGGAGGGTCAGGAGGGTTGCGCTCCTCCCTGGCACCCCCCCCATCGCGTTTCCTCAGAAGGAGCGCGGGGGGGGATCATCATCACCATCACCATCACCATCGCCAGGGCGCCTGCTCCCACGAGGGGACGCCGCCGACGAGGGCCGGCGCGTGGGCGAGCGCCTCGCCGACGGCGCGGGGCGAGTAGACTCGCTCCGCGCCCTCGTCGGCGACCCAGCAGCCCCCGAGCAGGCGGCGCACCCTGGGCAGGGGCGGCCGTCCCCTCACGTCCTCTCCTCTGCCCTCCTCCCCCACCCCCCATCCTCCCCTCGATCGTTTCTGCCCCCTCCGTTCCGTCGTCGGCCCCAGGAGCCCAGGGGCCAGAGGAGTCGCATTTTGACGGTCCTGGGGCCCAGGACGGGGCCCAGGACCGTCAAATTACGACTCGCGATGGGGAATCAACGCCCTGGAAACATGTCTTGAGAGATCCGCGCGGAGATTCTGGATCGGCGCCGGTGCCCCCTGGCGAGCTCCGCGCGCCAGGGAGGGTTTCCAGCTTCCGCCCAGGAAATCCGCGCGCACCTCCGCCGCCCCAGCCTGTGCTTGGGCCAGTGGCCCACAGCCGGCAGCCCGAGCGACAGCTGGGCCAGCAGCCATAGCAGGCCGCCCTCGCGGATCAGGAGCTGGCCGTCGAGGCCCCTGAAGCCGCGGGCGCGCCCGAGGAAGACCAGCCGCCGCACGAGCAGCGGGCTGATCATGGCCGCCGCCCTCGCGGCGGCGGCGCCCGAACAGCTCGAACCAAACGCGGCAACCGCCAGCGAAATGCTCGCTCGAGATCCACTCGAGGCTCTCGCGAGGAATCCCAGGGGGGAGATGCGCCGTTCGAGGCGGGGGCCCGAGGTGGGGGCTCACAGGGCAACCGGAGAAGGCCCAGAGGGAGGCCCCGAGGGTTGTTGAGGGCGGTTCCTTTTCAAAACGACGGTCTCGCTTGAGCTCCACTCGAGGCTCTCGCGAGGAATCCCAGGGGGGGGATGCGCCGTTCGAGGCGGGGGCCCGAGGTGGGGGCTCACAGGGCAACCGGAGAAGGCCCAGAGGGAGGCCCCGAAGGTTGTTGAGGGCGGTTCCTTCTCAAAACGACGGTCTCGCTTGAGCTCCACTCGAGGCTCTCGCGAGGAATCCCAGGGGGGAGATGCGCCGTTCGAGGCGGGGCCCGAGGTGGGGGCTCACAGGGCAACCGGAGAAGGCCCAGAGGGAGGCCCCGAGGGTTGTTGAGGGCGGTTCCTTTTCAAAACGACGGTCTCGCTTGAGCTCCACTCGAGGCTCTCGCGAGGAATCCCAGGGGGGAGATGCGCCGTTCGAGGCGGGGGCCCGAGGCGGGGGCTCACAGGGCAACCGAAGAAGGCCCAGAGGGAGGCCCCGAGAGTTGTTGAGGGCGGTTCCTTTTCAAAACGAAGTTCTCGCTTGAGCTCCACCTGAGGCTCTCGCGAGGAACCCGATGGGGGAGATGCGCCGTTCGAGGCGGGGGCCCCAGGTGGGGGCTCGCAAGGCAACCGGAGAAGGCCCAGAGGGGGGCCCCGAGGGTCGTTGAGGGCGGCGCCCTTTTCAAAATATAGCCCTTGTCTGAACTTCGCCTTCGTGTTCGGATTGTTATTTCGTTCTCTCTCTCTCTCTCTCTCTCTCTCTCTCTCTCTCTCTCTCTCGTTCTATGGTTGGTCCCGCCCTCTCTCTCTCTCTGTCTATCTGTCTGTCTCTCTCTCTCTCTCTCTCTCTCTCTCTGGTTCCCTCTGGTTCCATCCCTTTCGTTCGGTGTCGTCATTGTTCGTTTTCTCTCTCTCTCTCTCTCTGTCTCCCTCTCTCTCTCTCTCTCTCTCTCTCTCTCTCTCTCTCTACGTGTGCCTACGTGTCTCCCTCTCTTTCAGCGGTTTCCCCTTATCTTGCACTCTTCCATGCTGCATGCTGGACAGTAGGGATGGGGGGGTGGATTGGGATGGATGGCGGCTTGGAGGAGAAATATGCTGATAATTCGGACGACTTTGGGATTACACACTGCTACCCCGCCTCAAAAAGCATACACCAGCTCACCAGCTGACCCAGAAAATCAAACAACGCGTGGTGATCCATAAAACAACAACTTGGTGCGATCGTTAAGTTTTGCGGTCGTTCACACATGTTTTCTTAGACGCGTCCGTTTTTTCATGAACAAGCATTGGCTCCACACGCTCGTGTTTCGCATGCCCCTGCGCATTGCTTGTGAACTATCTCGAAATCATGATGCTGTTTTTCTTCCACCCATGTGATTTTTTGGGTATCGCGTCGTAGTCCGCATGTTGCTGATTTTTTGGGCGCATCTGATTTGCGAGGGTTCGCGTTCGTTTTCTTAGCGCGAAATCGCAGTACCATGAAGCGTTTCCATGCACATGCGTGGTCATTTCTATGAGCAGAACAGTGTTTTTGATGTGCTGAAATACGGTGCATTCCGAATGGGCCCAAGCCGAAACCAGCCCCAAGGCAGTTCCGGAGGCTTACCGAATCTGCCTCCGGAGCCGCGGGCTGTGCGCAGGCTTGTGTCGGGGAGCCGCCTCCCCAGACTACTACTACGACTACGACTACGACTACGGCTACTACTACTACTACTACTACTACTACTACTACTACTACTACTACTGCTACTACTACTACTACGTCTACTACTACTACTACTACGACTACTACTACTACTATTACGACTACGAGTGATACGACTGATACTACTATTACTACTCGTACAACGACTACTTCTACAACTGCTACGACTACTACGACTACTACGACAAGAACTACGTTTACGACTACAACTGCTACTATTACTATTACGACTACTACTACTACTGCTACTACTACTACTACTACTGCTACTACTACTACTACTACTACTACTACTACTACTACTACTATTGCGGGTGCTACTGTTACGATCCCCGGTACAACTGCAAATGCGACTACGACTTCGGCTACGACTGCAGCTAATATAAATACTACGACGACGACTAGTACCACTACCACTACCACTACCACTACCACTACCACTACCACTACTACTACTACTACTACTACTACTACTACTACTACAGTCGAAAGTGAGCCTGGTAACTCAAATAGGGCATATAGCCTGGCAAATTGCGGCCATCGCTCTGCTGTGAGGGTACAGTATGAGGGGTG